ATGTACAAGTGTAGATTAACAGAAGCTACATTTTTGTAAATAGGTTTCCATTACAAGCTGGATGGTGGCTGTGTGTCTTTAACCAAAGACATCATTGGGACGTATATGTAGATCGGAACTTAATGTATTGGACTGGAGATTTCAATGCTAGCCATTATACGGTACAAGGCGTACTGTCCCCGATTATAAGAAACAACAACTACACGGGTATGTATCACAGATAAAAGGGGGATTTATTTCATAAAATAACAATTATTAAATAAAATAACGATGTACATAACATGGAATCACTCCCGTTACCTACATATTCATGAATGTAACAAAACAATGAAGCAGTAATGACGCTTCTTTAGTAGTCACAATGTGAATAATTAATTAATTTATTCAGAGACGTATATATATACTACAAGTCTCTGATTAATTCCAGTATCAAATGTTTGTAATGCAACAAACCCGATTATAAATACCGTCAAAAACTAGCGTCGGAGCCATGTCATTATGTTTATTTTAAGTAACAAGAAGTCCAATGGGCCTGCGTCGCTCACCTGGTACAAATCTCACACTTATAACCTTAAAAGTGATCTAAAATAAAGCTACAGGCAAAATATCAGTATTCATGATTATAAGTCATTTAAAAGAACCTGTTAAAAGATTTATAAACATTTCACCCTGCGACTTTGAACGTCAAAACAAAATTATAGCTTAATCTCAGGATGCAACTTGCAAAATATCACCACCCTATATATATATATATACTTTTGTTCATTGAAAAAAGGTCATTTAAATGTTTATACAAATTTAACTCCTGTAACCTTGAATATAATTCAAGGTCATTCATTTGAACAAACTTGGTAGCCCTTGATCCCGGCATGCTACTGACCAGATACCAACATGCTAGGCCTTATGGTTATTCAGAAGATTTTCACATATTTGACCCCAGTGACCTTGCATATGGGCGAAGGTCATTCATTTGAACAACTTGGTAGCCCTTCACCCAAGCATGCTAATGGCCAAATATCATCTCCCTGGGCATTTTGGTTATTCAGAAGAAGTTGTTTAAAGTTTTTAACATATTTGACCCCTGTGACCTAGGAAATGGGTGAATGTCATTCATTAGAACAAACTTGATAGCCCTTCATCCCAGCATGCTACTGGCCAAATATCGTCTCCCTTGGGATTTTGGTTATTCAGAAGAAGTTGCTTAAATATGTTTTTTTAGACAATTGACCCATGTGACCTTGAATATGAGTAAAGGTCATCCATTTAAACAAACTTAGTAGCCCTTCACTCCAGCATGCTACTAGGCAAATATCATCTCCCTGGGCATTTTGGTTATTCAGAAGAAGTTGTTTAAAGTTTTTAACATATTTGACCCTTGTGACCTAGGAAATGGGTGAATGTCATTCATTAGAACAAACTTGGTAGCCCTTCATCCCAGCATGCTACTGGCCAAATATCGTCTCCCTTGGGATTTTGGTTATTCAGAAGAAGTTGCGTAAAGATGTTTATTTTTAGACAATTGACCCATGTGACCTTGAAAATGAGTAAAGGTCATCCATTTGAACAACTTGGTACGTAGCCCTTCACCCCAGCATGCTACTAGCCAAATATCATCTCCCTGGGCATTTTGGTTATTCAGAAGAAGTTGTTTAAAGTTTTTAACATATTTGACCCCTGTGACCTTGAAAATGAGTGAAGTCATTCATTTGAACAAACTTGGTAGCCCTTCATCACAGCTTGCTTCCGGCCAAATATCATCACTCTAGGCCTTTTGGTTATTAAGAAGAAGTTGTTTAAAGTAAAATATTGATGCATAACGCCGGACAGACGCCGGACGATGGACACCGCATCACAGCATAAGCTCACTTGGACCTTCCGGCCAGGTGAGCTAATAATGCAAATATGAACAGATACGCTTGCATTTATCAGATACAGTGTACATTGATAATTCATTAAACATACAATGGCCGAGTTTAGTAACATTTATCAGGATGTAACGGTGCAGTAACATTTATAAGCAGCTTGATACGATAGTGTACAGGTATCTAAATTAGGATGTAACTTAATTAATTTTAACCTTTATCAGGAACAAGAACTGATAAGATACATCATGTAAATGTAACGACACAATAACATCTATTAAGAAATAATGGCATAATAATAGTAGCATTTACCAGGAAGTAACGACACAGTATTATTACCATTTAACCAGGAAGTAAAAGCACAGTTACAGTAACATTTACCAGGAAGTAAAGGCACAGTTATAGTAACATTTACCAGGAAGTAACGGCACAGTTATAGTAACATTTACCAGGAAGTAACGGCACAGTAATAGTAACATTTATCAGGAATTAATAGCACATTTACAGTAACATTTATCAGGAAGTAACAGCACAGTTATAGTAACATTTACCAGGGGTAAAGGCACAGTTATAGTAACATTTATCAGGAAGTAATAGCACATTTACAGTAACATTTACAAGGAAGTAATAGCACAGTATAGTAACATTTATCAGGAATTAATAACACATCATAAGTAATATTTACCAGGAATCAGATAGAGATATATTACGGTACATGTAATGGGTCAATACTATTAATAGTAACATTTATCAGGAGGTAACACAAGAGTTACAGTACCTATGTAAGGCATTCAATCATTCCATCAGATGAGTGGTGATAGGTAACTAGTAAATAATATAGTTTCTATATTTACAATATTTGGAATATTAGAAATCACATGTTGTGTAGTATTCTATGGCACTGAAATATATTGAGGTATATAAACAAAGCAATACTTAGTAAGTATAAAGTGCGGAGGACTTATTGGTGTTATTAGTATAATAAGTACTTACGACTATCTGACAGGATATAAAGTATGAAACCATGGAATTTTTTGACATATCATTCATTAGTGTCAGAGGAAGGGACCACAATCAACTTATAATATATTGTGTAATGATCAGTACAGGAAAACACAATGTTATGAGTGATCCTTAAAATAATGATTAAGAAAAACAACTGTAGTTTACCAGACAAGTCAAAAGTGAACCTTAAAACAATATTTTCAGTTCTGTTAACACAATTTTTTTTTCCTATTTCAGAACTGATTTGGCTGAATTCACTTCTTTTATCATTATTAATGCATGTATTATACTATTCCTGTTATAACAGTGACAATGGGCCTGATCTACCACGGCTATGTAACAGTAAGTAGAAAAAGAGGTATTCTGTAGTTTTACAGAAGAGGAACGGATTGACTTCTACAGTTTTATGATCACATTTGCTCCTTATGAGCTGTGGCACCATTAGTTTATTCGGTTGATATATTTCAAGGGACCCAAGTTTTGTGTTCAAAAGACAATTCCTTACCAGTTAAATGTGTCACTTTGTTATACAAAATAATGTAAGTATGTTTTCCCAATAAAGCTTTTTTTACTGTTTCATATGAATAATGTAAAAATAAATAAATAAAAGAATAAAACAATATAAAGAACACTGCTGGTAAAAACACACACACAAAAAATGAATTCAGTATCATTGAGCATTACCTGGTATTTCAAAAAAGCTAAAATTAAAATATAATGATAACATACCATCATCATCAACTAAACTGTAGAATAATATACATCAGTCCATGACCTAAACTATCACATACAAATACCATAACTTTATCACATAGAGCTAACTCATATAGTGCCTCAGTCTAGGCCTATAATGTCATCAAGAACTACTACATGTAGAGCCTCATTCTAGGCATATACTGTCATCAAGAACTACCATACGTAAAGCCTCAGTCTAGGCCTGTTCTGTCACCTAGAACTACCATACGTAAAGCCTCAGTCTAGGCCTGTTCTGTCACCTAGAACTACCATACGTAAAGGCTCAGTCTAGGCCTGTATTGTCACCTAGAACTACCATACGTAAAGGCTCAGTCTAGGCCTGTATTGTCACCTAGAACTACCATACGTAAAGGCTCAGTCTAGGCCTGTATTGTCACCTAGAACTACCATACGTAAAGGCTCAGTCTAGGCCTTTTCTGTCCCCTAGAACTACCATACGTAAAGCCTAAGTCTAGGCCTGTTCTGTCACCTAGAACTACCATACGTAAATCTCCGTCTAGGCCTGTACTGTCACCTAGACCTCCCATACGTAAAGCCTAAGTCTAGGCCTGTTCTGTCACCTAGAACTACCATACGTAAAGGCTCAGTCTAGGCCTTTTCTGTCCCCTAGAACTACCATACGTAAAGCCTAAGTCTAGGCCTGTACTGTCATCTAGAACTACCATATGTAAAGCCTCAGTCTACTGTACTGTCACCTAGACCTACCATTTGTACAGCCTCAGACTGGGCCTGTACTGTCACCTAGAACTACAGTGGACCATACGTAAAGCCTCAGTCTAGGCCTGTTCTGTCACCTAGAACTACCATACGTAAATCTCAGTCTTGGCCTGTACTGTCACCTAGAACTACAGTGTACCATAAGTAAAGCCTAAGTCTAGGACTGTACTGTCCCCTAGAACTACCATATGTAAAGCCTTAGTCTACTGTACTGTCACCTAGAACTACCATATGTAAAGCCTCAGTCTCGGCCTGTACTGGCACCTAGAACTACCATACGTAAGTCTCAGTCTAGACCTGTACTGTCACCTAGAACTACCATTTGTAAAGCCTCACTCTAGGCCTGTACTGTCACCTAGAACTCCCATATGTAAAGCCTCAGTCTAGGCTGTACTGTCGCCTAGAACTACCATACACACGTAAAGCCTCAGTCTAGGCCTATACTGTCATCTAGAACTACCATATGTAAAGCCTCAGTCTAGGCTGTACTGTCGGCTAGAACTACCATACACACGTAAAGCCTCAGTCTAGGCCTGTACTGTCACATAGAACTACCATACGTAAAGCCTCAGTCTAGTCCTGTACTGTCACCTAGAACTCCCATACGTAAAGCTTCAGTCTAGGCCTGTACTGTAACCTAGAACTACCATACCTAAAGCCTCAGTCTAGGCCTGGACTGTCACCTAGAACTACCATACGTAAAGGCTCAGTCTAGGCCTGTATTGTCACCTAGAACTACCATACGTAAAGGCTCAGTCTAGGCCTGTATTGTCACCTAGAACTACCATACGTAAACCTCAGTCTAGGCCTGTACTGTCACCTAGATCTACCATACACACGTAAAGCCTCAGTCTAGGCCTGTTCTGTCACCTAGAACTACCATACGTAAAGGCTCAGTCTAGGCCTGTATTGTCACCTAGAACTACCATACGTAAAGCTTCAGTCTAGGCCTGTACTGTCACCTAGAACTATCATACCTAAAGCCTCAGTCTAGGCCTGTACTGTCACCTAGAACTACCATACGTAAAGCCCCAGTCTAGGCTTGTTCTGTCACCTAGAACTACCATACCTAAAGCCCCAGTCTAGGCCTGTTCTGTCACCTAGAGCTACCATATGTAAAGCCTCAGTCTAGACCTGTATTTTCATCTAGAACTACCATACGTAAAGCCTCAGTCTAGGCCTGTACTGTCACCTAGAACTACCATACCTAAAGCCTCAGTTTAGGCCTGTACTGTCACCTAGAACTACCATACGTAAAGCCTCAGTCTAGGCCTGTACTGTCACCTAGAACTACCACATATAGAGCTTTTTTCTAGGCGTATACTGTCACCTAGAACTACCACATATAGAGCTTTTTTCTAGGCGTATACTGTCACCTAGAACTACCACATGTAGCACACCAGTCTCTTGTTATTTATTACTTCACAATCACATGTTGTAGCACAGCAATGAGAATTTCATAGAAATATCACAAATCACATAGTGGTCCAGCCTATATTGAACAAGAAAAAACAATTCGTATGATCAGCATCAAGTTAGCACTGTCTGTTTTCAGATTTTTTGAAGATGCTTTGAAATTTTCCATAGGTTAGGTTTCGTTGTTGTCTGAAAAGAACAGAAAATATAGCAAAAAAGTGAAAGGTTTCTTTAGAAGTACAACATTGGATAAAATATGTTATAGAATACTACTGCTGCTCTTAAATTGGTGGTTTCAACCATGCATTTTTTTAACCTTATTGTTTATTAAATGTAAGATTTTTTGTTTTTTGATGAGGTGTTTCTTGTTGGGCCTCAATGAGCTATAACTGGTTAGTTAAGATAGACTGAGTACAGGGATACATTTTTGACAATACATGTATATACTTAGCACATTATTTCACTTGTTGTCTTACATGTCCTGGCTGCAGTTTGTCCATCTCAAGGAGAGGCATGATTGAGGGCCGGCCGTGGGCACATTGGAACGGGAGGTCACACTGGGCCAGGGAGCTGAGGAGTTCCTCACACTCGTCCACAGACAGCTGGTCACCAAACTTTATAGCACCTGTAAAGTAACAAATCAAACATCACAAGAGTAGACAATCCATAGAAGGTGGATCAATATACTACTACTACTACTACTGTTCATCTCAGCAATCTAAACTAAAACAAGATGCAAAACGTTGACCACTTAAACTAGCTAGTGTTCTCCTTAAGTAGTCTGCTTAGGAGTTTTACCAATAGACTTTAATACAATATTCAAGTCATTCATTTTCCGAAAACTCCATTGCAAATTGAGTTTTAAATGTAAGACCAAGCTTTCATTCTATTCCAAAAGACAAGTCATTAACATATTATGTACTGTACGGTTAAAATGTATGGTTTAATATTTGATGCCGTTACCTTTTGCTTCGACACTTTTCAGGAAATCAAGATAACCTATGATTTTTACCTTTCCTGATGAAGTGTGATGACCACAACAGTCCGGTTCCTGAGGATTGATTAATGGACCTCCTCTGAATGATTGCTTCACATTGAAGGATACTAACAAATGTTGTGTAAATACTGTGTAATCTTGTTTACTGATGCTCTGGTATCGCTGTCAGTCCAAGAAACTTACAATCTATTCATTGATCTTTTGAACTGTGTTATCCACAGTAAAAGGTAATGTTCAAGATCCAAAGAGATTTTATCAGAAAGAGGTAGTCACCTTCTTCATACAAACAATCTCCTGTCTAGAGATGGTGGCTAGGAATCCATGCAATACCAATGACTTAGTTGACAAGCTATTTAAGCACGTGAACATATTACCTATGTAGTGTGATTACCTTGACAAGCTTGGGAACATATTACCTATGTAGTGTGATTACCTTAACCGGCTTGGGAACTCATTACCTATGTTGTGCGGTTACCTTAACAAGCTTGGGAACATATTACCTATGTAGTGCGATTACCTTAACAAGCTTGGGAACATATTACCTATGTAGTGTGATTACCTTAACCGGCTTGGGAACTCATTACCTATGTTGTGTGGTTACCTTAACAGGCTTGGGAACTCATTACCTATGTTGTGTGGTTACCTTAACAAGCTTGGGAACATATTACCTATGTAGTGTGATTACCTTGACAAGCTTGGGAACACATTATCTACAAAGTGTGATTACCTTGACAAACTAGGGAACATTACCTTGCAGTATAATTACCATGACAAGCTTGGGAACATATTAGGCAATGTAGTGTGATTACCCTGACAAGCTTGGGAACATATTACCTATGTAGTGTGATTACCCTGACAAGCTTTGGAACATATTACCTATGCAGTGTGATTACCCCGACAAGCTTGGGAACACATTACCTTGCAGTAAGATTACCACAACAATATTTAGAACTCATTACCTATGTTGTGTGGTTACCTTGAGAATCTTTGGAACACATTACCTATGTAATATGGTTACTTACCCTGACAGGCCTCGGAACACATTACCTATGTATTATGGTTACTTACCCTGACATGCCTGGGAACACATTACCTATGTATTATGGTTACTTACCCTGACACGCCTGGGAACACATTACCTATGTAATATGGTTACTTACCCTGACACGCCTGGGAACACATTATCTATGTATTATGGTTACTTACGCTGACACGCCTGGGAACACATTACCTATGTATTATGGTTACTTTCCCTGACACGCCTGGGAACACATTACCTATGTATTATGGTTACTTACCCTGACACACCTGGGAACACATTACCTATGTATTATGGTTACTTACCTTGACACACCTGGGAACACATTACCTATGTATTATGGTTACTTACCATGACACGCCTGGGAACACAATACTTTATGTATTGTAGCTGGTAATCGTCCAAGGACACCACTGGTGCCTATCAACAACTATAGGTAACAAAGGGAAAAGAAAAGTGTGAGCAAGAATGTAGTCACTACATCACAGAGCAATGTGAATTTAATCAGTGTATTCTGATATAAGAACTTTTGTAGAAATTACATAAGAAGTACAAAGAATATTGTTAGGAATCTTGTGTAATGTTTATGTTCTGAGTTATAACTGCTGGAAAGGTAAAACTTAGTCTTCCTGGAGCTACAACATGAGTTCCACTGGTGCATCTTATTATGTTCACAACAACAGCAATGAAGTTCCCTTATTCTCTCATTATAACTATTTGTCTATTACTAAAAGGTTGTATAACAAGAGCTGTAGGAGACAGCATAGCTTGTCTATTAAAATTATGTACACTTTTTTTGAAAAAAGTGGTAATAGTAACTGGGCCATTACAGGATGTCCCATCTTAGATAATAGATGAGGAAACTAGAACTACATTCTCGATGGCACACTCCTGCTTACCCCCCACCCCCCTTGATTACCATATGCAAAAAAAATTACAGTAAAATGTAGAACTCATGGTTATGTTTGATTTGATATTTACCCCTTTTTGCCCCACCCATCTGTCCCTTATAGGGGTCAGGGACTTTATTTGTACAATCTTGAATCCCCTTCCCCTAAAGATGCTCCCTCTTAAATTTGGTTGAAATTTGCCAAAAAGTCTAGGAGGAGATATCGTTTTAAGGCTAACTGTCAAATTTACCCCTTTTGGCCCTGCCCACTTGTCCCTGCAGAGTCAAATTCATTTATACAAACTTGAATCCCCTTCCCCTAAGGATGCTTCCTGCCAAATTTGGTTGAAATCTGCCCAGTAGTTTCAAAAGAACTAGAACATGCCCTAAAACTTTAACCTGTAGAACTTGCCCAAAAACTTGAACCAATACCAAATGACTTGTGTTTCGGACCAATAATGAGCAAATAGGGTCCAATTTGTTGCTAAGGAACCTCCAAGCAATTGCTGTAACCATATTGCAATGTAAAATCAATTAAAAGTTGAGTTAAACGCCAAAACACAGCTTGCTCAAAAACTTTAACCAACTGCTCGACTTGTGATATAAGTCACCAAGTAAATGTCTTACCTCTACATGTTCCTTTAACAGATTCTGAAATAAACAATCAGAAACTAATTGCTTCGTCATTTATACAGTAGGAAAATACCTTATATAATTGTACAATATATATTGCTGTGTTTAAATTAACTATGTTTATAGGAAGATAAATTTGACTAGAAAAGGTAAGGGATGACTTAATAACCAGTGTCTTAATTTATTCTGTCACAAATTGATGAGATCAACACCATTATTTTTTTTAATTGAGACATAACAAGTTGTGATAATGTATGGTAATGACACCCAGCAGGCAGCAACTGTGTTTTGTATATATATTGATCATTCTGTCCTGTTAACAGTAACATTTTATCAAGCCACTGATTACATCCAGGAAACATATAATGTTAATATCAAAAATCACATTTAATGTACCATCTTTAATTTCTAACCTACTTCTAACTTACCAGAACCACATTCCATGCAATGGAATCCCTCTTCCGCTTAACCTCATTAACTTCTTTCTGCATGATGCATGCTGGGATAGTGTGTACATAGATGGAGTCCCTTTCCTGCTTGTCTTCACTAAAGTCAACACCTGGTTCAAAGTTGTATGATGATGAATGGATCCAATATGTACCATAACTATATGACTAAGCATGCACGTATGTCATGCATGATGTATAATGTACAAAGCTCATTCCTTATTTTAGTGAAATCCATATATAAAACAGAATATTATCTTGATCAGCATCTTGCTCAAAGACTGAATTCAAATATTACAATAGCTACCATAAGATTTAGCACAAGATGATTTTTCTTCTTAAATAAAGCAAAAGTTTGTACAAAGCACATTTACAACCCACATCACTCCTCACCTATCCTGGAGAATTCCGCTTTGTACGACACCATCACTCGCACTTCATCCTGCTCTAGTGTCAAATGTTGGGCAGGTGTAACGATTGAGCGGCTAATCCTGTTGTCTCCCTCATAAGCCTCTATATCAACAAATACATTTAAATGAGTATAGATGAATAACTATCAGAAATTAAATAAGATATGTACAGCAGAGGGTAAATGAACATCTATTATTAACAAAAACAAGAGGCCCAAGAGGGCTTGTATCGCTCACCTGAATATTTAAGCAGTCATAGTAAAATATTCTCATTAGATATTATATTGCACTAAAAATATTTCTCTTGCAAACTTTGTTGGCTCCATCTGTTGAAACTACCAGCAAAATATTATTATAAGATTCTATGCTTTTTTATTCTTCTTCATAAGTTGCTAGACATATTTTTCCCTGTGACCTTGTAAGTAGCTATAGGTCAATGTCATTTTCCTTCTCAAATTGGTTTGCTCTATTCCAAAATGCTAACAGCCAAATCTTATGAATCCATTCCTTTTAGTTCTTGAGAACAAATCCTTTAAAATATTGTTGACCTCTGTGACCTCTAAAGTAGGTTGAGGTCATTTTCATTCGCAAACTTTGGTGAGCTCTATCCCAGGAAGTCAACAGCCAAATATTATAATTTTATGAATTTTAATTCTTCAGAAGTAGTTTGAACCGTTTGACATATTTGAATGATGTGACCTTGAAAGTAAGTCATGGTCATTTTCATTTGCAAACTTTGTTTGGCTCTTTCCCAGGAAATAACCAGCCAAATATTAAGGTTCTATACCTTTCAGTTCTTCAAGAGAAGTTGTTCTAAGCGTTAGACATATCTGCCTGATGTGACCTTAAAAGTAGGTCAAGGTAATTTTCATTTTCAAACTTTGTTGGGCTCTTTCCCAGAAAGCTGCAAGCCAAATATTTAGGTTCTATAACTTTCAGTTCTTCAGGAGAAGTCGTTTTAATCATTAGACATATCTGACTCCTGAGACCTTTAAAGTAGGTCAGTCATTTTCGTTTTCCAATTTTTGTCGGGCTCTATCCCAGGAAGCCACCAGTCAAATAAAAAGATTCTATACCGTTCAGTTCTTCAGAAGAAACCGTTTGAAGTGTTTGACACATTTGACCCCTGTGACCTTAAAAGTAGGTCAAGGTCATTTTCATTCTCAAACTTTGTTGGGCTCTTTCCCAGAAAGCTACAAGCCAAATATTTAGGTTCTATAACTTTCACTTCTTCAGAAGGAGTCGTTTAAATCATAAGACATATCTGACTCCCGAGACCTTGAAAGTAGGTCAAACTAATTTTCATTCTCAAACTTTGTTGGGCTCTATCCCAGGAAGCCACCAGTCAAATACAAAGAGTCTATACCTTTTAGTTCTTCAGAAGTCGATTAAAGTTTTTGACATATTTGACCCCTGTGACCTTGAAAGTAGGTCAAGGTCATTTTAATTCTCAAACTTTGTTGGGCTTCGTCCCAGGAAGCCACCAGCCAAATATAAAGATTCAATACCTTTGAAATTTTTGAAATTTTTGACCCCTGTGACCTTGACATTAAGTAGGTCAAGGCCATTTTTATTCACAAACTTTGTTTGGCTTATTCCATGGAAGCTACGTACCAATTGTCATGTCTCTAAACCTTCGGTACTTCAGAAGAAGTTGTTTGAAGGTTTTTTCATATAAGACCCCTGTGACCTTGATAGTAGGTCAAATTCTGTTTTTTTTTCGAAAACTTTGTCGGGCTCCATATAAGGAAGCTACCAGCCAAATATCATGACTCTATGCCTTCTGGTTCTTCAGAAGAAGTCGTTTAAAGGAAAGTTGACGGACGCCGGACAGACGCCGGACGGACGCTGCGCCATGGCATAAGCTCAGCTGCCCTTGGGGCAGGTGAGCTGAAAAAAGCTCACACCACAAGTTAAGATCACCAGCAAGCATTCAGAGATATTCTAAACCAAGACACCCCCACATAAGCTTCACTGCAGACCAAACATAGCCATTTAAGTCCTTTTCATTAGTGGCCATGGCAACCCTCTATCAGAAGGTATTTGTATATAGCTGAAGTGTTATACGTTTCATTTAATGAATTCTCCTATCAAAACTATTGCATATGAGTTGTGATATTTCATTGGAAATGAAGAACAACAATTATTCAATATACAAATACTATGAATGGAAATATGATTTTTTTAATAACAGTTCAATAGTAAAAATTTCATCCTATGTCATAGAGTAATGTTATCTACTGTCTTGTGTGCACGGACATGTACCTGATTGAGGCACTTTGTACTTCCCTGATAGAAGGTGATCGAGTGATGAAAACAGACAAATATGGGCGTGATCAACTTCCTGTTAACCAGGTGTCTGTGATTGAAGTACTGTTTTGTGAAGATTTCATGATATATCCCAGTTCTACATTTGAAGATTTCACATATTGTTTACCTTTGGTAAGTCTTTCTAGGCGAACACGCTCATGAGCAGCATGCTGGTCAAAAAGCAACATCAGATTTGGATCTGAAAGACATTAATTATATCTATATATAGGTAGGGCTGATATACATGCCATCAATTGTTCCTAATGAGAGATAAATCTGAGATGTTGCACAGATCTTTAAAGTACAGGGATATATTTTCTTTCCAAAATTACACCACATAAAGATTAAAAATGAACTGCACAAAAACACACCACACAAAGAAACAGGTAAAATAGCTCTAAGTCACTGAGTAAATTGAGGATATGTTTGAAAGGAATAGCAGAATGCATTCATAGATACCCCCTCTGATAAAATAAAATCTAAACTAGATACAGTAATACTAATTAGAATTATCTAAGGGACATAACTCTTCAATAAATTAGTTCTACTGTGTTACTGTCTTTCTTTGCTGAAAAAATAATGATGAAACATATTTCGACAGATGAGCTGTAAACATTCAATTACAAACAAATGTACACACAACGGATAAAAAAGTCACAGAACAACCACTCGACTATACAGAAGGTTGTGTTTGTGTCTAATTCAACTGAAAAACCCTCTGTGGACTATCCCATACCGAAATAAGTTACAAATAGGTATAACTTTTTTGTACCTTTTCAGTAACTTTTTTGTACTCCTGATAAAAGGTACAAAAAAGTTATAACTTTTCGATACCTTAATTTAAACTTAAACTNTTTTCAGTATCTCAGAAAAGCATAACTTTTTTGTACCTTTTTAGTAACTAAATAAAGTTATAACTTTATGATACCTTTTTCACTAGTGCTTTAGTGGCTAAATGTAACTTTTGTGTACCTTTTGTTTGCAAATAAAGTAATGATTGAACTGAACAAAGTGTTTGAGTGTAACTTTTTAATACCTTTTTGTAACTTTTTAGTACTAGATTGAAACTCTCTTCTCACAAGGTTCCAATCTAGCATCAAAAGTTATAACTTTTTTGTACCTAAATAGAAGTAACTTTTTTGTAACTTTTTTCGGTATGGGTAGTGTTTGTCTCTATTAGCTGTGAACAGTTTGTCTCAGGTGACCTAAAAACCTGCTGTGGACTAGTGTTTGTCTCTATTAGCTGTGTACGGTTTGTCTCAGGTGACCTAAAAAAACTCCGTGGACTAGTGTTTGTCCCTATTAGCTGTGTACAGTTTGTCTCAGGTGACCTAAAAAACCTCTGTGGACTAGTGTTTGTCTCTATTAGCTGTGTACAGTTTACCTGCTGCCATGTTGTTTGTCCTGGAACTGGTCATACAGGCGATGAACTTGTTGTCTACCTGTCCCACCACCTACAGCACATATTATAGCCATTTATATTGTCTACTATGAAAACTACAAGCTACATATACAGGTATTCAAACCTAAATCTTTTGAGCAACATTTTAAAGGTAACTGAAGTGGGACGGTAAGTGTCAAATTATTATAAATAACATGAAAACATTGCATAAAGCTTATGTGAACTTTGATTTATATTTTGCCAATGTAAGAATTAAAGTTTCTATGATTTAAATTTGTCACTAGAATCCAAAGCATTATCAAGTTTGTTTGTAACTTAAGGTATAACACATTATATATGGTACACATACATAGTTATTAATAGTATTGTGATTTCAGTCTTACTTAAATTGATGTGATTTTCCCCCAGCAAGCTACAGACCAAACGTTATAATTCTATACAGTATTGGGCTTCAAAATAGGTCTTGTAACACTTTTGACCACCTTGACCGTTATACAGTGACTGAAGTTACAAAAATCTGGTTTAAATGCTGTATTCTCACCTTTACATCCTGTAGCATGTCCTTGGTGAACTTGTGAGAGTGAAGGACACTATTAACCCTGGCTGTACCTCGCGACCTCCCACTGACCTCCACAGCTGTGGCTATCGCCTGAACCAACAACAATGGTCACATGTTTTGAATTAATCAGTAGAAAGTGATTTCATATCCCCTTACAGAAATTGATCACGGCTATAGTTTTGGAAGTGATGCTGTAATTGTAACAGTGAGAAACACAAAATTACACCTGTTTTTGTTAAGTGAACAAAAAGGTCGTTCTCCATATTACACACATTCCGGGTTATGTGAACAAAGTGTTGTCTACCTTAAATACCTGACAGTGTTCAATTAAACAAAAACAATTTTGAAATATCTTCAAATGGTGCTAATGCCAATTTGCATTCGTGATGTAAAAACACTTTTCATTGGTCAATAACCATGGATTAGAAATGATAGAAACGCACAGCTTGTTGTGAAATGAAGACATAAATGCATCACGTGACAAATGTTAGCATGAGCAAAATTACAGCATAAATATCAGGTGACTAGATTATAATTAGCTGGGTCATCATGCTTATCACAGGTGTATCGACACAGTGGTAGACACGAAAATGTCTTTTATTACATTTTACTTGGTAGAAAAGATATAATCAACATATGTCGGTATATTAGGATGGAATATGTCACTCAGGATTCGAAAATGCAAGCAGCCCTTATTAAAAAAAAAATCCAACATTTTCTCACCCTCATTTAATATCCACAATAATACATGCACATATGCTGATTATTTCTTAAATAATTAATATGCAATGCTTAGGTCATTTTGAAATGGAAAGTTTACCTATATACATTATGTTGACAATTAACATGCATAAGTTAAATTACTGGTTACATTACTAGTAAATAAAATCAAAACTTTCTGTGACCAATAACAAATGTTATAATACATAAGATTTTTAGTACCCAACCATGGGGTTGTCTCCCCTACAGAAAGATTCTGGCAGTGTGAACATGGGGTTGTCTCCCCTACAGAAATATCTCTAGCCATGTGAACCAGGATTACGCCTTACCATCCATACAGACATACCTGTTCTGGTCTTGAGAACACAGGGTTGTCCCAGTCCTCAAGTAGATCCTCCACACATCTTGTATTCATTACATCTGCCAAAGAAATTCAATAAATATGTTAATATTAAACTAGAACACTAAAGGTCGTCGGGGGCTTTGCCTAACCCAATTGTACCTCCATGGTCATTTTTCAGTTACAGTGACCAGTTACTGTGACCAGTTACAGTGACCAGTTACTGTGTCAAAGTTTTAGAAATGCCTCGGAAGTACTTCTTTATCATGAGGACAAGACTATCAAAGTCTGCACTTCAAAATCTGCGAAATACATCAAAAATCACAATAGACAGCATGGCTGACACTGGTTATTAACCTTGTTTGTAAAGGGATATAACCCAGTATTTAGCCCAGAGTTGCTATCTGTTACCTGTGAGGTCAGAGAGTCAACCTTTGCAATCTGAAACCTGAATAATGAATGGAATAAATAAGTATGAATAAGGAGTTTTAAATAAAAAAAAATATATAACTCAGATTACAAAAATCTTCACCATATCTTATAGCAATTGTATGTAAAATCTATTTCATTTTAAGTTAGGAATCAATTGAGAAGTAGACATTAGGGTGGAGGCGCAGTAGTCTAGTGGTAGGACTCGTGACCAAAGGATTGCGAGTTCGAGTCGCGTCACAGCACTGTGTTGTATCTTTCAGCAAGATACTTTACTCCACTTGTTCCAGTCTACTCAGCTGTAAATGAGTATGTGGTTGGGCAGTGCTAAAATTGTTGAATGCTAGCTGTTGTTGCCGAAATGGCAGCACCAGCTGTATGCTCCCCAGGGAGTTGAGAAAGATATTGGCTGGTTGCACCTATAACCACGGATAATAATTTGTGAACCGCTTTGAGACGACCTACGAACTAAGTTGTGATAAAGCGGTTTATAATAACCTCAAATTATTATTATCATTATTATATCAAGAATATGATCCATTCCACAAATAAAAGACATGAATAACCTGTTGTCTGGCTGTCTTCTTTCCTTTCAGAACTACATCTTGTACCTGCCCACTTGACAGACAACAGGTCCTCCTCCTCTTTGTCCAAGGTTTCTAAATGGTCAGACATGATGTGGAGCAGGGTATTATGGGACTGAGGTGAAAGGTCACCTAACATAGCATTCTTCCCTGAAGGTGTTGTTAAACTAGGGCTAGTCGTCTTCTCTAGAAAACATCAAATATATCAGATATATCAGTTAACTGAAAAATTCCAAGATTTATAGCATCATGATGTATGTATAAAATATGGGACATTTGTATGAAGTAGATGGCTGTGGTTTAGTTTCAGCTGAGAAACAAATTAATGTAAATTGTACTCCAAAGAGCTACAGTAACATGTGGAGCCAAAAGGATGGGGAGGTAGTTATCCTTATATTTTGCAACATTTGTTTCCTTCGTTCATAAAACATAACCTTTCTAACAATGGGAAGCGTTTAAAATTTTCACAATTTATTTCCTCTCTCTGATCATAAAATAAAGATATATATCATTTGAAATAAAAGGGACTAAAAACTTGAATAGTTTGATGTTATTCATCAGAACACAATACCTTTCCTGACTAGCCCACATCACTTTACAAAGCAAAATATGTACTTTTGATGTTTTTTCCCTTTATCTTTGCTCTGGTAAATTTTTTAAATATGACTTTAAAAAAAGATTCGCTTGAAAAGAGAATCTTCAAAGGGCATGGAGCCTCTTTTGTTCAGAAAACCCCATATAGCTGACCAGTGTAAAATGACTTGCTATCTAGAGGAGGTGGTACAGCTAGCTGACCAGTGTAGAATGACTTACTATCTAGAGGAGGTGGGACAGCTACCTGACCAGTGTATAATGACTTACTATCTGGAGGAGGTACTGTGGTACAGCTAGCTGACCAGTGTAAAATGACTTACTATCTAGAGGAGGCAGCACAGCTAGCCGACCAGTGTATAATGGCTTACTATCTAGAGGAGGTGGTACAGTTAGCTGACCAGTGTATAATGACTTACGATCTAGAGGAGGTGGTACAGCTATCTGACCAGCGTATAATGACTTACTATCTAGAGGAGTCAGTCCACCTAGCCGACCAGTGTATAATGCCTTACTATCTAGAGGAGGTCGTTCAGCTAGCTGACCAGTGTATAATGACTTCCTGTCTAGAGGAGGTGGTACAGCTAGCTAACCAGTGTATAATGACTTACTATCTGGAGGAGGTGGTACAGCTATCTGACCAGTGGATAATGACTTACTATCTAGAGGAGGTAGTACAGCTAGCCGACCAGTGTATAGTGACTTACTATCTAGAGGAGGTGGTATAGCTAGCCGCCCAGTGTATAATGACTTACTATCTACAGGAGGTGGTACAGCTAGCTGACCAGGGTATAATGACTTACTATCTAGAGGACGCAGTACAGCTAGCCGACCAGTGTACAATGACTTACTATCTAGAGGAGGTGGGACAGCTACCTGACCAGTGTATAATGACTTACTAGCGAGAGGAGGCAGTACAGCTAGCCGACCAATGTATAATGACTTACTATCTAGAGGGGGCAGTACAGCTAGCCGACCAGTGTATAGTGACTTACTATCTAGAGGAGGTGGTATAGCTAGCCGCCCAGTGTATAATGACTTACTATCTAGAGGCGGTAGTACAGCTAGCTGACCAGGGTATAATGACTTACTATCTAGAGGAGGCGGTACAGCTAGCCGACCAGTGTATAACGACTTACTATCTAGAGGAGGTGGTATAGCTAGCCGCCCAGTGTATAATGACTTACTATCTAGAGGGGGCAGTACAGCTAGCCGACCAGTGTACAATGACTTACTATCTAGAGGAGGTGGGACAGCTACCTGACCAGTGTATAATGACTTACTACCTAGAGGAGGCAGTACAGCTAGCCGATCAGTGTATAATGACTTACTATCTAGAGGCGGTACTACAGCTAGCTGACCAGTGTATAATTACTTACTATCTAGAGGAGGTGGTACAGCTAGCTGACCAGTGTATATTGACTTACTATCTAGAGGAGGTGGTTCCCAGCTACCATCCCGAGGCCGGGTGTGGCCTGTCAGACAGTTCACATACAACTTCTCACCTACACAAATCACAAGTTACAGATACATTAATTTATGAATTTCATATATATATCTATACCTGTACACTAACTTAGAAAGAAACAAAAATGCTATTCTGCTATGAGCATTAAATACAGGGATCATACTTGTATTCTCTAAATATATTGAAACTAACTTGAAGGCAAGGCCTATCACATAGAANAGCAATAGGTCACTTGAGCTAAAGCTCAGGTGACCTAATAAAAAGCATTGTACTGAAGGTTTTCTTCACGACTGATGCAATGCGTAAAAAAAGGTTGGCGCATGAAATATAAATGCAGTTTTTCTTGAAATACAGGAAAATACTTTAGAAAGGTTGTACTTTGCTTGCATTACCCATCAGTTACATAAATTGGTATATTTAAACTGATTATAAAAAGTAGAATTTATTTTTTTCGGTTTAACTCATGGCCTCACCTACCTGTTTTGGGATCTTCTATTTCCATCCATGGTTGCTCACGATTAGAATGGTTGTCTGCTGTAGTGGCGGTCTTGTTGGTGCACACATCCTCTGACTGCTGACCATGAGACTGGACACTTTTTACGACTGCCACTAAATCATCATCATCATCTGACCACTGATGAGTAGGGGTGTCAGTCGACCTATCAGGCTTTGCTGAGATATCTGTTTTGTTCACTTGACTTATATCACAAATATCTAAAAAGTTCTTTGGTAATTTACCTTTCCTGTTGGACTCTCTAAACACTTTTAGTTGCTTTGAACTAAGTCCCTCAACATTGAACTGCTCTTCTGATCTGTCAGAAGAGCTGTATCCAAAATGCTCATCGCTTGTATTTTCAGGGACGCTATTACTTTGATCAGCTATGTTGCCCACAAACTGAGAAGAATATGAAATCCTTTTGTTGGCATCTTGAATTCTATCAGGGCAATTTTGAAATGACTCTGTCCCTGAATAACTCACCTGACAGTTACCATCGTCTAGTTTATTGCACATACCCTCTGTAATAGAATTAAACATAGTTGTCTCCCCTTCATAATGTGTTCCCTTGCGAGGTTTGTCAGCGACAACAGCTGTTTGTGTCGAGGCACAAGAACTCTCCTGCATTGCGATGGACTCACACTGGACACACCTTGCCTTTTCATGTGACAATGAAAAACGATTTACACCTGAGACGTTGGTCAGATCAATATGGCTGTGGCTTTGTTGTCCACAGTCCAAGTTTTCAATACGCTCCATGCTTTCATTGCAAGACAGTGAATCTAAATTTGTTTTGTGAGTAAAGTTCTTTACAGTAAATTCACTAGACACTTCATCAAAATCGCTTTCTTCCAAACGTGTGCCCTTCTCTCCCCCATTTCCTTCTGAACCTGAACCCTTCTCTCCATCATTTCCTACAGAATCTGTACCTTTATCACTGTCAATCTGCTGGCAATGATCATGACCCTGTGTTAAAATGCTTGGGTCTACAGAAATCTGAGACACAGAAGATTCAAAGTCTGTCCTGAACCGAGCTTGAGTTTTGAATAAATCATTGGTAAGTTGAGTGGGAAAGGAGTCTTCAGACAAGTTACTCAGACTCTGAGACCTTATAGTAGAGATATCTAAAGATAAGCTACTGTCCTGAGCCACATCCCTTACAGAAGATTCGGACTGTTCTGAACTCTCCACAGTGGTGAACCTGTTGTAAGGTAACCTACAGCTCTTTGACCTCTTCTTTTTCTTTACATAGCTCATGTCTTCTTCATACAATTCAGCTATAGAGGAAGAGTAGGAGTCTAGATATTCTGCCAGGGTTTCACTACCTTGGGTTGTGGAGATTACTGTGCTATTGACGTTAGAGTCATTACAGAGGCGTTTATTGCCGCTTGGATTACTGGTATCACTATTTAATTTCACGTTCATATCATCATCCATCATAACAGGGGAAAACCCTTCAGACACGGCTGGTGATATTACACGCTCTTCTGTGAAAGCAGGTACTGGTACAAATCCTTGTGATTCCTGTAGTGATTCCATAAGCACCTGTTTATCGATCACAGCTGATAAATCAGATATAGGAACAAAGCCTTGAGACTGAGTGGTATCTGATCCCTGTGTAGCCAGGCCTTTACTGCTGGGACAAGTTTCTAGACTGGACAAGCCGGGAACAAAACCCTCTGAGGTCTGTGTGGTAAGTTCACTGTAACCCTCACCATCCCTGTGTGACAGGGAAGTGTTAATGTTGTATATTTGCCCCTCCTGCTGCAGTGTTGACTGGATGTCATGGCCCTGGTAATCCCGAGGTACCACTGGGTCAGGAAAAGTTTGATTCTGCTGACAACGCAAAGAGTTATCAGAAGTCTGGGAACTTTGCTGAGTATTTCTGTGATAAGATTTCTCCTTACTTACAGGTGTCGGAGCATAATCAAATTCTTCATAACACAATAGATCTGTGTTAGAATCCTCAGTATGGACATCCCCTTGGTCTATGTCCAGCTTATCGATAGATTTTGGGGTCCCTTCAAACAACACTATGTCTTGCACAATGTCTGCCTCTGACTCAGAAGAAATACTTGGAAAGTGTGCCCCTTCATCATTAATGCAGAAGCTAGCTTGTGTGTTCGAACCTATATCACTCATGTCTTCTGTACCGCCATGAAAAGTAACCATCTCTGTCTTTTTGTCAAATAATATTTGGCTGTGGTCCACTGTTGAATTGGTTTTTAGTGGCTTAAATCCTTGGTTAGATTTCATCTGTTTGTTTTCAAGTGTTCCAAATTCTGTATAACATCCCAATTTGAATGTATCACTTCTAAAATCATTAGAATTACTGGTATCCACCATAGTAACGTTTTTTTTAGAGGGTTTATGATTCTGAAATACATCATCATATGTCTGCACAAAAGATGCAGTTGTTAGAAACTTCTTTGGAGCAGTTGGAGAGTCAACCATTTTTCTTGTAGAATCTGATGAATTATTGATGTTACTATCTCCACCTTTCAAGCTCCTACTGTTAGGAGCTCTATCAGAAAACAAAACTGAATAAGAAGTTTCAAACGAATCACATCCATTTCCTGATTTATTTTCCTTTGAAGTAACCATCTCCTGTTGACATTCTGATACAGAAACTGATCTAGTACAATATGTTTCAGACCTGGTATCTTCAGGTGAGGATACAGGAAATTCTTCTTCCATTTGAATTCCAAAAACTTGGCCTGTGACATCATTTGATTTCTGCCGTCGTGACCTTGTCAACCGGGCCAGCTTGGCTGCCACGGAAGACTCCTCAAGCTCTGAGATCCTTTTTTGAGGATGGCTGAGTTTGAATACATGTCCTTCTTGCGATAAAGTTCCCCCACGCCTTATTTCATCTGCTCCATTTCTGTTTGATGAGGAAGAACTAAATTCCTCATTATTTTGTTCTGTCAGTTTTCTATGAGAGAGAACTTCAGTTGTTTTACTTGCATCAAAGGTGTCACTTAGGGACAATTCTGAAGTTTTGGTCGAGTCAATCTTTTGGCTATGCTGTCTTATCTCAGACTGGTACCGATAATCTGACCTTTTAACTTCATTGTCAGATGTTTTGTCACAGTGCAGTTTTTTCTTCATGGATTTGAAACAAGAAATCTTCTCAGGATTTGAACTTTTGCCTCTCACCTTCTCATTGCTAGAGCTGTGACGTTTTCTGATGAGAGAAAGTGTAGAACCACCGTTACAACCTAAATGTGGTGTTTCAAGTCTAATTATTGTACGCTGTTTCTCAACTGCGTTTGTGAATTCTTTCCCTTTTCTCCTAAAATTCCATTCAAATTTGGGAACAGGATCTTCACTTTCATAATCCTCATCTTCATCAAATTTGTCATTTACTTCATGATCTCTGTCATCACTGTCGGACCCCTTTCTGTCCCATTGCGTTTCTCTGCCTTTGACATTGGAGCTGTTTGTAGAAGATAAGACTGTGTGGTCTGTTATAGATTCAGTGGCATCATCACTACTACTCACATTTTGTGATGTACTCTTCATCGCTTCCTCAACTCCACATTCCAGATTTTTATCACTTTCTTTATTTTGAACAAGTTTGTTGTCGTAAATCTTTTCTAAACTTTCTATGTCAGTCGCTTTTTCTTGATCCTCTGTGGCATCTAATCCCTTATACGTCTCGATTACATTCTCATCTTCACAAACCTCAGTTTGGTCACTGACATTTTTAGCTTGTCGCTTGACCAGCTTTGAAGTAAGGAAGTTTCTGTTGCTGCTTGTACTTATCTGTTCTGTAACAGGTTTAGTAGAGTCCCCAGAGGTTGAAGTCTGCTCTCCGTCAGAGGAAATCTCTGCAGAGTCACCCGACTTGTTGTTCTCACTTGAAGTTGCTCTCTCCTCTGCCATCATATCCTGGATTCCTAGTAAAAGGCATTCCCTTTTTAAGAATTCAGATACAACTCCTCCAATACAGGTACAGAGTGTGTCCCAGTCCTTGAACTCCACTAGTGTTTTTGCAGGGTCAAAGGTTACATCATACTCTGTATATGGACATGAAACGTTCACCACAAACACTCCAAACTTCTCTGAATATTTTGTTGGACTTGAAGTTACAGACAGCACACTTTCTTGTTGTTTACCTTCTCCCTGTCTGTCACCTACACCCTTCTTCCTCAGTATCAGTGACTTACCAAGTATACAGTTGATGACCTTGTGAATTTTGGTCTTCAGCACTAAACGTTTATTTATGTACACAAACTGTAAGTCCTTCTTTGAAAAGCCTTCCTTTCCTATGTATCCTTCCACACTAAAGCAGCCAGATTGTCCTTGAACAGGCGACAATGTCTTGGACCTTCCTATACCAAATAGAGAGGTGAACACATTCAACACACCATTGGTTTTATGTGTCTGAAGTACAAGGTTTCCTGTGATATCGTTTCTTAGGGAAAATGAAATTGCAGGCCTCATCAGTGCTATACCCTCAAGTCTTTTTCTCACTCTCTCAAACTCCAGCACTGGATTCATGGCTTTCTTCCTTACAGGCATGTTGTAAAATACATCATGCACCGTGACTGTTGTGCCGGCGCTTGGTCTTGGCACGCTTGACGGCATCACCTTCGTTGGTGTTGCTTTGTTGAAGATCTTACAAAACGTCTGTGTTAAATGTTTTGTACGTGATGTTATCTCTAATACTGAGCTAGCATCCCTCAGACTGGCAATAGCCTCTCCCCGGTACCCGTAGTGGCAGAGCTGATTGAGGTCATCCATTGTGTGGCACTTACTAGTGTGGTACCTGTAACAGAAAAGTATACAAAATCATACAGGTCAGCAGTCAATCGGTTCTTCCTGGCAGGAGATGAGTACTACCTATTATTACAATAAATTTTTGAAGGTGTACGTAGTTATTATATCTTTGTAAAACTAAACATACTAGCACAGAAATACTTCCCAAACATGAGTGAAACAAAAATGTTAGACAAAATCATGTTATTCTATTAATAAAATCAGGTTACCTCACCTTGGTACGTTAACTGATCATGATGCTGAAATATTTGAAATACTTCAGTTTCAATTTAGATTTCATTTGATAAGATATTTACAAGCAAAAAAATTAGTGATATTGTAACAAATAAGCCTGGAATATACATGTATTATGTTTGTTATCCTATTGTTAACGTTCCTATATGTACCTTAATTCAAATGACCTATATAATTTATAAAAGATTTCATTTTTTATATAATCCAGTTTGACTGAAATGTTATGTAGATATAATTAATGTTCAAAGCACATGAACATGCAATGTCTAAACGAAGAAACTAAACATAAAGTTTAACTAAAGTAAGTGAAGTGAAAAATATAGGCCAGAGTGCAGGGCTAGAAATTAATTTTCAAAACCACTAGTCATTGGAACTAGTAGTTTCTGATTTACTATTGAATGTGCAAATTCCCCCCCCCCCCCCCCCCCCCCCAC